GGAAAACGGTAGGTCAAAATCGCAAAGAAAAACAGAGCAAATAGATATAGAGCCGATCAACATGGTGGTCCAGCAGACCTAACGAGAGAGCGTGTTGGCGCCAAACGCATTGGAAGGACGAAGAGAGGGAGAGCGTCAGGCAGGACAACAGGCAGTCGGCCTGAAGGGACTCGCCGCGTGGCGGTGAACAGCTGGCCGCTTTCTGCTGGTGGTTACCGCTTGCTGTTTACATTGCATAACAAAGCTATACTGTTTGCAGTCTAGCTCAGTGTCGGTGTTCGCTTTAACATACTTCCGAGAACATTCTAGCGCTAACCACATCAAGCTACATGCGATCATGCAGACGTCATGACTAGGGGCACCCCCAAAAAGGAAAGTCTGGACCAGATCGGCGAGGTCTGGCGCCATCCGCTGTTTCGACCTTGTAGTTTGTACACAGTATACAGTACACAGTGAATAAACTCAAATATCGTCATGCCCCGATGACGCACATGCAAGATCCGGCGTCCTGATCGAAACCGGGGTTTCTCCCCTCATGATGACGTTGATTCGCTGGTATCTCTTCCAGCCTTCCAGGACTGCTTTCCCCCGGTTTCACTGGCTACATTCACGTTCATCGATGGCGTAGCCATTCACTGCCAGGGTTGTCGACGTCATGGAGCAACTTGAGGACTAGAAAACTTATATAAAGACTCCTCTGCACCGTCGATGAGTGTTCTTTCCATCAACAATCCAATCATCTACAAATCGCAACATCCAATCCAAAACTCAACTACATCCAACACTTTTTAAGTCCTCTTAACAACCACTCAATCAACATGTCTGACACCGGTCGCAAGGATTTCACCACCAGTATGTCTCCTGTTCCTGCGCTCAGGCGCCCCATGCCAATTGGCTTGCGTGATACTTACTCGCTTCTGCAGAGGCTAAGGAGGAGATGACTCCTGACTCCACCAAGTCCACCCAGGACAAGATCAAGGAGACCGTCACCGACACTGGTGACCGCGTCGCCCGCGGCTTCCAGACCGACGACAGCAAGTCTGGTACGCAGGAGGCTTTCGACAAGACTCAGCGCTCCCACGATAACACTTCCCACGGCGGTGCTTCCGGCTCCATGTCAGTATTCTTATGGTCAGGCTGTGGTATTGAAAAACATCCAACTAACAGACTCTGCAGTGGCGACAAGATCAAGGACACCCTTGGTCTGGGTAACAACTAAGTGCACGGCACATTCGAATACAATCGATCGACGAGTCATGACCAATAGCGCTTTCACTGTTCTGTGATGCATGGAATTGGAGAACGATGGGTTGGCGGCTCACGGCAGATTGTCCTTTTCATGATTTTATGAGTTGACGATACCACACCTTGATAGTATCACCTCTCACTAGCTCAATACTAGTTGAACATTTGATAAACATAGTCCTGCATCATTTGTAGTGTAGAATTTACTTTTCGGCAAGCTTCTCAGACATAATGTTCCGTTGCTGGGTGAGTCGGTCAAGCTCCTGCTCTAGCTCCTTGTATTGCGCCCGAGCACCAGGGATGTCGCTTGGCAGATCATGAAGCTTCTTTACCCTCTCCACTAGTGTTTTAGTGCTCTCCAGCATCCTGATAACGCTGTGCTCTTCCGCAATCACTTCTTCAAGCGTGGGTCCCTTGCTCCTATTTCTCTGTAGCGAGGCAATTCGATCTTGGTATTCGCCAGCTTTGGCGCTGAGCAATTTGGTTTCTCTTGTCCATTCCGCCGTTAGCGCTGGGAGGTTGGCTGGTGTTTCATACACCTCGTTGGTCTTGAGGTCTAAAAGTTGTTCTCGCAGCGTAGCCAGCTCTCTGCCCAAGTAGTCGTGTAATGCCTGTACTTTACTCATCTGCTGCTGCGCATTGAATTCCTCCACCGTGAGATCAATGATAGATTGGCCTAGATCGCTCGTACTTGTGCCCAGAGCCCCAAGTACTACCGTTGCCTCTGCCAGGTCGTCCAGGGTTCGTCTGCCATTGTCGTCAAGACTATGCTCCACCTCATCCAGTATTTCCACCTTCTGCTTTACCTCACTCTCCTCTCGGGCTTTGAAGCTCTCGACCGCCTGCTCGCGAGCCTGATGGAGAATAGTGGCTTCCTCATCCGCAGCATCATTGGCAGCGGCCAGTGCTAAGAGGGTGCGCAGTGTATCTTCATTTCGCTCGAAACTGGGAACCGGATTGGGTGCGTACTGACGACTGAGCCATGCATTGACATAGGCCCAATCTTTGGCCTGAATGGCCGCTTGGCGCGCTTTGGCGGGGGAGAGGAGGGGGCTATCCATGGCAATCGATTGTGTTATTTGTAATTCTTCGGATATGCAACGGTTGAATAGCCATGTAAAGGCCTAACAATCAAATATCTGGTATTTCATTAAGGATGCGGGCTGAGGAAAGGATTAGGTTCAAAGGTTGATTCAGGTACAGGGACGGATCAACAACCCGGCCGGGGAAAGCGCTGCGCCGATTCCCGCCTCCGCTTCAGTCCCGCGGGACACTCGCAGCAACCATCCCAGCCAGACAGCTCGACTACGCCAACAGTCCCGCGATGGCGAGCTATTTCCCTCCCAATGGAGTCATCTCCAGCCATGGATCCACTCGAGCATCCTCGCCAGCTTCCTCTCCGCTTTCACCCCCGGTACACCAGCGATCCAATGCCTTGTCCAACCGACTGACAAGTGTACTTTCGGCCTCCTATGCGGACTCGGACATTCGCGATGCGCTGGAGACACTCAGCCTCAGGGGAATACACAATACGGCAGAAGTTCGGAGACAGCTACGCTTGGATGTTCAGAAGGAAGTCGTCGACAGCAATGCCGAGATTGTGCGGGATTTCGGACTGGTTGCGGAGGTGAGATGCGCCGATGCTGAGAGATCCAATGGATGCTAACTTAGCCTGCTGCGCAGCAATTGAAACGGATAGGAACTGTGATTACCAACCTGAACCAGACTTGCGATGAGATGCGCAAACATATTGTCTCGGCCAGACAGGAAACGGCACCAGTGCTCGAGGAAGCGTCGGCCTTGATGAAACAGAAGAAAGAGGCAGAGACCAAACAAGAGCTGCTGGAAGCTTTCACACAACATTTTATCGTCCCCGATGAGGATCTGCTGATCCTGACACACGCTGAGGAGCCTATTGATGACCATTTCTTCGAAGTCCTCTCCAGAGTCAAGCAAGTATACCGGGACTGCGAAGCATTGCTCGGGGGTGAGAACGAGCGACTGGGCCTGGAACTCATGGAGAAGAGCTCTAGAAGCCTCAATTCCGCCTACCAGAAACTCTACAGGTGGATACAGAAGGAGTTCAGATCCCTCAACCTCGAAGACCCTCGCATTAGCAGCTCTATCAGACGTGTTCTGCGAGTGCTGGCGGAGCGGCCAAGCTTGTTCCACAGCTGCCTGGACTTCTTCGCAGAGGCGCGAGACTACGTCCTCTCGGATGCCTTCCACTACGCTCTTACTGATGCCGTCTCTGGCACGACGGGTGACATCAACGTGAAGCCAATCGAATTCTCTGCCCACGACCCCCTACGGTACATCGGAGACATGCTGGCCTGGGTGCATTCCACCACGGTCTCCGAACGAGAGGCACTCGAGGCCCTCTTCGTCGCCGACGGCGAAGAGCTCGCCAAAGGCATTCAAGCCGGGCTAAGCAGCGAACCCTGGTCCCGTATCGACGAAGACAAAGAAGTATCATTCGACGGCCAAAAGGCTCTCAGTGACCTAGTCAACCGAGACCTCATTGGCGTCTCCCGAGCCCTGCGCCAGCGCGTCGAGCTAGTCATCCAAGGCCACGACGACCCCGTCACCTGCTACAAGGTCGTCAACCTACTATCCTTCTACCAAACGACCTTCAGCAAACTCCTCGGCCCGCAATCCAACCTCGCCGAGCTCCTCGAGACCCTCGAAAAGTTCACCTTCAATCACTTCGAAACCCTGATGCACGACGAAGTCAACAACATTTCAACAGACCCCTCAGCCCTGACACCCCCGGCGGACCTCTCCGCCCCCCAATTCCTCCAAGACGCCTTAGAAGTCCTCACCTCCCTAATGAAAACCCACGAGGCCTCCTACGGCGCCGACCCCATCCCCACCCCTGGCCCCAAACCCACCTCACCACCACCCCAGGACACCACCACCAGCACCACCACCGAAAACAAATTCACCCCGGTCCTCCACTCCGCCCTAGAACCCTTCCTCGACCTCGCCAAATCCTCCGCCGCCGATCTCCCCTCCCACACCACCCAAACCATCTACCTAACCAACATCCACCTCACCGTCCGCACAACCATAACCCCCTACCCCTTTGCCAGCACCACCCACCTCTCCCCAATCCAAACAGCCCTCTCCACCCTCCGCACAGACCTCCTCGAAATCCAACACCGCTACCTCCTCACCTCCTCAGGTCTCCAAACCCTCCTCACAGCCCTGGAGCCCTTCTCCCCTCAACAACCACCCTCAGACCACCAGCAGAAGTCGTTGTCGAAACCAAACATCTCAGACATCCTCTCCCTCCCGGCCTTCCAGCCGCAGGCGCTAGTTAATATCAGCCAGCAATTGGATGACTTCCTGCCGTCTGCGTTGATGGATGCCACGGAGAACTTGAAGCGCGTGGCGAGCGCGACGTTCGTGAAAGGTGTTACAGAGGATGCGGTTGAGGCGTTTTGTAGGGACTTTGAGTTTGTTGAGGGCATGGTTATTGCGGCGGATAATGAGGCGCGAGGGGGTGTGGTAGATGGGGATGAGGGTGGGGAGGAGGATGAGGAGGGAGAGGGAGAGGAGGAGAAGGGCGGTTTGAGGAGGTTGTTCCCTAGGACTACTGGGGAAATTAGGGTTTTGTTGAGCTGATTTAGCTTCCTCTTCTTCTTCTGATAGGAGTAGTTGATAGGGGGTGGGTTGTGTGTTTGGGTTTGTGGATTGAATGCATATAGTGCAGATTGTGTTTGATAGCATTTGCTTCTTAGTTCATATGTGAAGTCCATTTCTTTATATTGTATATGCTATTCATCTTCAATTGATGTACTATGTAAGCAGATGACTAGATCTACACCTGACGAATCATAATACCATACGGATCACGATCCTTCTCACTAACATCCACCACACACTCCGCATCCTCAAAAACCTCCTTCAGCTCCGCACCAGCAGCACCACCCTTCAAACCCTCCTTCCTCTTCACCTCCCACTCCTCCTTCACCGCACCCGCCAACTTCTCCCTCATCACCGCACGCAGGTACCCACGCTCCGTATTCGAATGCGCTAGCGCAACTACAACCGACCCACGCTCCACCGCCGCCAACGCCTCATGGTGACTCAACTCGCCGGTGAAGAGCAAATCAGGGATCTTCCCTCCCGTGCCCTTCAGCAAGATACTCGATCCGGATCCGGGACATACACCCACAGTGCGGATCTCGATGTCTTCGACCGAGGAGGTCTGCGGAATAGCGATGGGAATACCACCGGGGTATCCGACGCCCTGGGCGATGCGGTCCACGACGGCAGTGAGAGGCTGGGGCTCGTCGAAGGTGACGATGCGGCCCATGCCGGCTGAGTCCATGCCTTCGGGGACTGGGGGCGGAGAGGGGATGATTGTGTTGCGGACGTGAGGGACGGGAGTCGCGGGGGATGCGGGCTGGGGGTCGGGGAAGGTGGCGTGGGAGTAGTGTGTTGAGGAGGATTTCTGGATGGTGGGCTTTGTGCTGGTGGTTGGGGCGATGGCGCCGGTGACAATGTCGCAGAGCCAGTCGGCCATGCCGCCGGGGGTGGCGTCGATGGCTGTGTGCGGGGAGTAGACGCTGATGCCTTCTTGGGCGAGACGGAGGAGGGATGATTGTTGGGGGTCGTTGAAGGTGATGGATTTGAGGCCGCGGAAGATGATAGGGTCTGAACGTGTTAGTTGTGTTAGTCGGTGATGGTGTGTAGGTGTTTGGGGGGCATTGCGTACGGTAGGCTACGACTACGGAGGCGCGGCGGGCAATTGCTTCGTCTGCAACTGCTTTGGTGAGGTCAATTGCTAGGAGGACGGAGTTTTTCTGTCGGCGGGTGTGGTCGAAGGGGGCTTCGAGGAGGACTGGGATATAGAGTTAATGGGTTATAAGACTGGTGGTAGAAAATGGGAGGAGCTTACGGCCGGTGTTGTCCCAGCTCTTATCAGCCAATGACTCGGGGTAGCTGTTGCATTGAAGAAATTAGCCATTTTGAAACGTGGATTGACCAATGTAGGTGACGGAAAGCATACAGCTTCCTCATGGAGCTCACCACTGCCTGCGTAAATGGCGATGAGGTGGGGTATGAAGCAGACATTGTGGAATATAGGCGGGCGGATTGCCGACGAAGAGAGTTCATAGACAATGCTGTTGTGGTCTGGGATATGCGATGATCAGGTGCAGTTCCGGGATGTCAACAGGCCAGCGCAAAGTTGAGCTAGAAAATACCCCGCGAATGTAAAAGCAGATGAAGCTTTAGAAGAAGCGATGGAAGCCGAGGAGAAGCTGGCGCCACAGCTGGCCTAGTCCAGTCTGGGGCTAGTGCCCACCAGCCACAACGGCAGCTGACCAATCCGTTTCTTACGGTACGGTACGGGAGGAAGGAGAAAGAGGATCAATTCCAGCATGAAGGAATTCCGTCATCCTACATCGGAAGAAGCATCACCGCGCTGCCCACCCTTCTGACTCAAATCGCTCTTGACGACTCTCGGTCGCTTCATCTTAATATAATTTAATACCTTTAACTATTCAAGTACCTTATACTCCTTTGAAGTCGCCGCCCGGCTCGCTTGATGTACTCCCGCACCACTACCCTGTTGAGCAGAAGCTGCCGGTATCTTCTCCGCACCCCCGTCCATCACAAATCGCCGTTCTCGATTTCCGCGCGCTCCTTTGCGGCAGTCAACGCAGCCATGGCCGATACTTCGGGCGTTACGGCCGACTCGCTGAAGAGCAAACTGATCGATCAGTTGCAGGCGCAGCATGTTGAGATCGAAGACTTGTCGGGTATGAGAGCGCCTGCTGATTAATTTCATCTCCATGAGGGAATGAATGCTACACAACTATATGATTCCAAGACCAGATGTTGACGATAATGTTGTCTACAGGTGGTTGCGGACAGGCTTTCCAGGCCGTCATTGTCTCCCCCCAGTTCGAGAAGAAGACCATGCTTGCTCGCCATCGCCTGGTGAACTCGGCCCTCAAGGCCGAGATCGCTGCCATCCATGCCTGGACGCCCAAGTGCTACACTCCCGAGCAGTGGCAGGCGCTGCACCAGGGCTAACTCCGTTGTGAAGACGGAGGCTAGAGGAAAAGGGACTGGATATATCCTGGGGATTGACATGCCCTCGAGGGCATGCCGTCGGGCGTTGGGTTATTCGACATCATGGCTTTGCGCTGCCAGTTATGACTTATGCTTCGCTGGCTGTGGTTCTGAAAATAGAGTTCTATCGCAATAAATATTATGATATATTGTCATGTGAAGAGCCTAAGTATATAATTTTTTTATATGCTAATTCTCTGGGCTGGTTTAGGCCAAGACCTTCTCGGCCGCAGAGACTACATAATCCGTTAGTAACAGTCAATTTATTTGCTGGTTTTTGGGATCTTACCGTCAAGACCGATGTTGTCGGGCTCCACGAAAGCCTCCTTGACCTTGCCGTTCTCGACAAGCAGGGCGTAACGCTTGCTGCGGTTGTTTCCAAAGATGGAAGCGCTGTCGAAGGTCACATCCAGGGCCTCGGAGAACTTGCCACTGGGGTCACCCAAGAAGCGGATCTATCATGTAGCGTTAGTACACAGCACCGGGTGTTTCTCATACAACCAGGTTATAAGATCACTTACGCCGCTCTTGCCCTCGGGGTCAAGGGAGGTAGCCCATGCCTTGGTGCTGTTGTCGGGTTAACCATGATACCCTCGATTAACGGATGACACCGTACGTGACCCGTAACTTACACGAAAGGGTCGTTGACTGCAACAACGAAGACCTGACCGGCCTCCTTCAGCTTGGGGTGGTTGATGAATCCAGGAACGTGGGTGGCAGAGCAGGCGGGGCCTAATTTCCGCCGAGGTGGAACGGTTAGCAATTTATCACCAGGAGACATCTTTAATCACAGCGACCACTCCTATCTTAGGCCGGGTCGGCGATATCGGCACGAAAATTACATACTGAAGGCAGCAGGAACACCGACGATGACGCCCTTGCCCTTAAGTTCCTTGGCGAGGTTCACCTTGTTGCCGGGCGAGTTCTCAACCAGGACATCAAGGTCCGGGATGGCGTCTCCCTTCTGAACAAAAGCGGGTGCCGTGCTGTGGAAAAGGGCCCTCTGGGACAGGGTGCGAGGGACACCGGCGGTAAGACGACGAGCAGCAAACATGATGGCTACAGGGAGGAATGGATGATAATTTGACAAGGAATGTGTTTGGGATGAGAGATTGAATAATCCCGTTGGGGGTTGCCACAGGAAGTTTAAAATGAGAATGAGCGATATGGGAGGTGGAAGGCAGGAAGAAGGTGGGAGCTGGATGGAAGTTGATTATTGTTGTTCCTGAGCTGGTGGAGCTTCCTCAGCTTTCTCCAGAAATAACAAACATTAATTTAAATTGCTCCCGTTCGGGAGGTCGGAACATTAAACATTGCGATGATTTCGTCATGGTCGCTTTTCGGCTGCAGCGCCCGGACGTCGACTGGAGAACGTGGGGACTTGCTAAGGAGGAAGAGGAGGATAGTATAGGACTTTCAACTATCCTTGATGGTCGAATAGGTTGATTGAAACAGCCAACTGCCCTCTGCAGATAAAGCCACACAATAGTGTGGTTGTGAACAGAATTCCGGGACCTGTTGCTGGTTTCAAAACAATCATCCACGTGAAAAAGGGCGATAACGCCATACTTTAGGGCCCACTTATGTATGTCTACATATCATCACTTCAGATTCGCCTCCCCGGCATGTGGGAAGTAGTACCAAACACAAGGCCGCGATGAAGAGGGGGGTGGACATCGAATCAATCATACCGTGCGGACATCGACTCCGGTAAGATCTCATGGACCAGTCTCGATCGCTGCCTCAGAATCTCTGACAGCCTTTGTTCCCGCTGACTGACGGACACCAACCCTGCATTGTCTGTCTCGAAACTGCAAGGGTTCGTTTGCAGCATTCAAGTGGCTTTGGACCGGGGGGTGTTGAGTCTGGACTCTCAGCAGCACCTCCCCCTCTAGAACCTTGGCTGATAATTGATCTTGTTCATGGGCTGGCTGGATGAGCGTGATGAGACGAGCATGAGAGGAGAAGACAGGAGTCGGATTAACCAGTAAATTAGTTGGGCACTTACTTACATAGTTTGTCTCGCATAATATTAATAGTACCAGCTTCCTTAGAACTAGTACATGATGTTCGGGAGGTGGCGTCTCCATGATCCATACTACTCCATAGCTCCTTGTGCTAAATTAAGAGCCCATCCGATCTCTCTATCACATCTTATGGCTCCATGAGGAGGACTGGAAGTAGAATACGGCTATTTTATGGCCTGTCTCTATTCTTTCTTTGTCATGTCGTTCTTACTTACACACCTGATACTCTGTTAGCTAGTTGTAATCATCTCTGGATCCTCGTATCGTCGGCTAACCCGCGAGAGGGGATCTGCAACTGTTGCCGAAATTGAGGTCCCCCCCTGAGAAGGGAAACCATCTGTAGTAGAGAAGAAGATGCCCCAGCAGAGCAAAGTCGTGCAATACTGTATGTAAGTAGTATTTGCCAGAATGTTGATGCAGTTGATTTGATTCTCTGGAACCCCACCTCGTACAAACCCGCTGGCTACCGCGGGGTCCGAGAGGAATGAACGAAGGCAAAAAGAAAAACAAGGATGATGGGCTGAGAGATAAACATCAAAACGGTCATTGCTGCCGTCCACCCCTCCCTCCGTATACCACGACACGGCCGTTCGGGTTGTTGATCGCTGCGCAGAATCCAAGGCCCCTCCACCTGAGGCAGCCTATCTCCATAGCTTCCCCCCATCCTTTTCGTGCATCATTCTGCATCCATCAGGCGCACTGACAGCAATCTTTGGACCGGTAGTTCCGCCAGAACGAAGTGGTGGATACTGAGCACTCAGTCACACCTGCTTCGTTGCCTTCCTTACTTGGTGCCTTGTGCGTTTGTTTTTGGGTAATGGATATTCTTTTGCTGTCTTTTTATTATTACTTAATTATCTATTTTTTCTTTTCTCTAGGCCAGAATTCTTTATTTACCCTTTTTTTTAATTATCCTTTTCTTCTTTCTTTCTCTACCGTTTCTTCTTCGCCTTATACTTTGTATGTATGCTTGGAAAGTTAAAAAGGAGGGGAGCATAATTCTTAGTGAACGATATTGAGTTGTCTGTCCCTATTAGTTAGTTAGACCCGGGGGCTCTAAGATTTAGTTCCCAGTGTTAGTTTTTTCGTTGGCTTAGCATTAAGAATTCTCCCTCTACCCCTCTTATGGATCTCCTTGCGTGAGGTCATCCCCCCAGAATTAGAGACAAGTGCTGCATGAGAAACAGCCTCAAGATACCCGTCAAACGGAGAATTTCAAATTGCCAGAATGCTTGGGGGACCAGTAGATAGATACTAGACAAATTGCACATCTCTCCAAAGTCAAGTAAGATTAACCGGAAGGGGTAAAGGGACGGAGAAGTGACAACCCAACGGGTGGGTTGGAAGTTGTGGCTAGTGACCACGTACTCGGGGGGGAAACCGGAAAACCCACTTGGGGCAATTGGAGATGCGTCGATAATAATCAATACCACTAACTACCACTGCTACTTCATACATTTGACTACTGTAGATACTACAAGAAGAAACTTTGCTGGGCTGGGTGAACGTGAACCTGATTGCCAAATGAGAGTGAGCCATGGAAAGCAAATCACAGAACCACCTTTACCCACACGCCTGCCTTTTTCTTATCCACCCCCAACTCAGCCAGCAGCGCAGCAGCAGCAGCAGCAGCAGCAGCAGACAGGCAGACAGACTGACTGACAAGACAAGAGAGGGGGGGGGGAGAAGAAAAGCCCCTCGGTGTTTCTCTCTCTCTCTCTGCTACCTAACCTAATTACCGACCGTTGATTGATGATTTAGGATTTTATTATAATTGAATGTTATTTGATTTGATTAGTATTTTCTTTTTTCTCTTTTTTTTTTCTCTTTTTCTTTTCTTTTTTATCTCCCCCTCTTCAAGGGAAAAAAGGGCAACAAGACCAAGACTGAAAATAATAAATCCCAAAAAATATCAGGCTCCACCAAAAGGAGGGACTGGAACTAAACCCGAACGGCATTGACTAATTAATCCCCATTCCTCCTACTTCCTCACTAAGGCTCACTAAACTAAACTTGCCTACCACCACCACCTCCATCTCTCGACCACGACTACTACCTTACGCTCGTCTTTTTCTTTCTTTCCCTCCATTCCTCTTCTTTTCTTTCGTCCTCTTCTTTTTCTTGTCTGATCACTATTCTATTTCTCTCTCTCTCCAGTTTCCTTTCTTTCCCTTTTCCTTTGCCACCCGACATTTAATTTGACGACTGGCTGGTTTTTCTTCTTTCCCGTCCCTCCGCCCGTTTCTCGCCTTGCGACTTGTTGAGCCTGTTGCTTGTTCGATCGGTCGCGACCCATCTAGCCCACGATGGACGGTGGCCAGACCTCGACCAGCACCGCCCCCGCGGGCAACTCCAGCGATTTTGTAAGTGTCACCCTCGATAGCGACCGTTGTGAACTTCATGATCGCTATTATTTTCTAAGCGATTATACTTCAGTTTGCTAACATGATGGTTAGGTACGGAAACTCTACAAGTGAGTTGTTCCCCTTTTACTATTCTCCTGTACCCTGCCTGCGCTTCATCACTTCGGTTTCTCGTCCGCCGGGTTTTTCAATCTCAACCCCCGGCTTTCGCTGTCCGGTTGTCGCTGCGCCCTAGTAGAATCCAGCGATGTCCTGCATAATCTCGACATTGATCATGCGTGCTAATCCTCATCGCAAAGGATGCTCGAAGACCCATCGTACGCGGAAATCGTGCGGTGGGGTGACGAAGGAGACAGTTTTGTGGTCTTGGAGGTATGGCGCTCTTCGCATCTCCCACCCCGTCTGCCTTTGCTGCGGTCGCAATCCTCGAGGCTGACCTAGAAATCTATTCAGTGCGAAAAATTCACCAAGACCATCCTTCCGAAGCACTTTAAACACAGCAACTTTGCCAGTTTCGTGCGACAGCTGAACAAGTACGACTTCCACAAAGTGAGACAGAACAACGAGGAAAACGGACAGTCACCATACGGACAGAATGTAAGCAAGCTGCGCTTAGTGGCAGTCGATGCGATAGGTTCTAACTGTACTTGCTCTTCAGGCCTGGGAGTTCAAACACCCTGAGTTCAGAGCGAACAGCAAAGAATCCCTCGATAACATTCGACGGAAGGCCCCGGCTCCGCGCAAACAGGCCCAGAGCACCGAAGACTCGGTTCCGACACAACAAATAGATTTGCTGAACCAGCAAATTGTGGCTCAACAACAACAGATTCATCAATTACACGAGCGACACACACGACTCAGTGTCGATCATCAGTTGATGATGCAGGAAGTTATGAGGGTGCAGAAGACCATCCTTAACCATGAAAATGTTATTCACCAGGTGATGACTTACCTGCTCTCCGTTGATGCCCGCCAGCGGCGCGACAGCAAAGCGGCTGCTGTGCCTTTCCAAGCCCAGGGTCAAGCCGGTTCGACCCTGAGCCCTTCACAGGGCGCATCCATGGACGACGAGCCCTCGTCACCCTTGCAGCATGCCTCGAAGCTCCTGAATGATATGAATGCAGAGATTCAATTCAATCTAGGGGGCCTAGAGTCCATGGGTGAGCCACCGAAAACTACCGCCGTGGTCCCTACACCTGCTCTGGAGACTGCTCCCCGGAATGGTGTCGCGCGGCCCTCTGCTGCCGACGCCAGTGCGAATACTGCTATGGTCTATTCCAAGATGAACGGGGAGATCGAGCCCGTCGTCTACCCGGTGGGCGCCACCAACGGAATCGATCCTATGTACAGTGAACATGTTAACAACGTCCCGTATCCCATGCCTCCCAAACAAGAGATTGACGAATCTCGACGGCAATTCCCCGACAACCGGAAAAAGAGCGCAAATGTCGATCCCGGTTGGGTGCGCAGCCCCCATATTCTGCTCGTAGAGGATGATGCGACATGCCGTCAAATTGGTGGCAAATTCCTATACTCTTTCTCGTGCCTGATTGATACCGCGGTATGTTACTTTCCCAAAAGACTCGGATATCTCTCGACTGACATAGCTTCAGTTCGACGGCCTGGAAGCGGTGAACAAGATCCAGGATGGCTCCAAATATGATCTCATTCTCATGGACATTATCATGCCCAATTTGGATGGTGTTTCTGCTTGCCACCTTATTCGCCAATTCGACAGGACCCCCATTATCGCCATGACATCTAACATTCGCAGTGACGATATCCAGCTCTACTTCCAACATGGTATGTCCGCCACCCCCTGGGCTCCTTGGCACAGCCACTCTTAGGTCACTACGTTAGTGACTAACAGCATTATTAGGAATGGATGACGTCCTTCCAAAGCCTTTCACAAGAAAGAGCCTTCTCGATATGCTTGAGAAACACTTGGTTCACCTGAAAACGATGCCGCCGGGAATAGAGGCTCCCCAATCGGCAGCAGCCGTTACGATGGCCGCGCAAAGCTCGGCCGCCCAGTCAGTCAAGGAGGACAGCTCTCCTGGGCAATCGCCAGCAACATCGATGACTGCTTGGCAATCACCGGGCCAATTTCCAGGCATGACTGCCGTGGCTCCTAACGTTCCGCAAGTCCAAAGCCAATATATACCCGCCGCCCCTGCTGCGGCTGCATATGCCGTAGATCAAAACGGAGTTCAGTATCCCGCACCCGCGGTGGCCCTTGCTACTACGGCGCCTGCGGCCGTCAGGCCGCAACCACCTCGACGACAACTTTCGGAAATGTCGAGTGCTACCGAAAACCCCAATATGGCCAAACGGCCGCGCATGTACGCTCATCAAGCGCAGCCAATGGTTAACCCCATGCAAGCTGCGCGAACGGGCTAGATCGAGTGTCTTTCATCTCTGCCCTCTTTTCTCGCCCTACACTAGACGAACAATGACCTTTTCCAATTCCTTTTTACGCCCGCCCTCCCGCATCTCTCACCTCACTCCCGCTACGCCTCTCCACCTTACGATTTCCGTTGTTCTTCTCGTGATGAAGTCTTAGCCGTACGATACTGTTGTCTCGGGGAGTTGTACTGCTTCTGTGTTATTTTCTTTTTCGACGTTGCTCGATATATCCCGGTGTTGGAGGCGCGTGTTATTTGCATAGGTTGCGAATCATTTTGCGGCAAACTGTTGCGTTGTTTTCGTTTCTACTGGCTGATTGGCCGATGCAGTCGAAAAAACTGGTACTCGGGGTATGGCATCCAGATACCTTGGTTTTTGCAGCAGGACCTTGGGCTGGCAGCATGTAGTGTCTATTGTACGCGTCATATGGACTTGTTATTCTTCTTGTTGGGGCGCTTTGTAACCAGTCTCAGTTGTTACGTGGAAGGTCAATTTGCTGTGGGTCAAATAGTTAGCTAAGCATATGATGCTCAACAGCAGGGTTGTTGGGTCAGGAGGTAGGAATCTATAGAGCCAAATTCAAAATCTATTATTAACTCCCATCATTTCCAACCACATAGATACTATTTAACGTTCAACACATCCAGGTCCAGTAACAGAGTGCAAAAAGGGAATATGACGTTGCAGGCGCCCACCACTTTTTCCACACCAGCCCCGGAGGTTGAAATGGTGGCCACCCACCAGTTGAGCGGAGGGGAGAGCATCATCACCTCCCTCGTCATCATACGACCCAGCGAACCCGATCTGCCCACCCGATCCCTCCAAGCAGGCTACACTTCCGATCTGGTGTTCATCAGCTTTATCCACGATAGATAAGGTTCTAGACCGTCGGTCCCTGAACAAGGGATATTCCTTCGAGTCCATGAGGGCCCAGGCCTTCGATGGTGTTCTGGACTCTGAAACCCCCGGCACTCGCTGAGCCACTGTGGCTGTACCCCTGCTGTAACGGTTATTAAATCACGTGAGATGCACGTCACGTGCTAGGTGACCAAGGGGAGAGGCAGCCGAGGTGAGGTGGGGGTGTTTGTGAGTAGGAGTAGGAGACAAACAAGACAAACGGGCCGCCAGGTGGGATGAAGAAGAAAGCGTGACTCTGAACTTCCTCCGCCCGACGGCGCCGGGCTTGGCGGAGATTTTGCGAGTTGAACGCGCCCTGGGCGAACTTATTCATTGTTGCTTTCGGATTGTGCCGATTGATCTAGGTGACTTTTTGGGCCTGCCTTATTTCCCCACTCCCCCTTGGTACTGCTATTTCCTATTTCTTGGACCTACGCCGTATCTGAGTCTCTTTGTGAGTTGAGGTGGGGGAATTTCGAGAAATTACTCATCGGTCGATCTACATACCGTTCCTGATGTGAGTGCGCAATTGTGTGCCCCTGGCGCTCTTTGATGGAGGTGATATACTTGGATTGTTCTGACTTGCTGACGGCTTTTGGTGTATAGATGGGCCCGAAACAAAAAGGTGGTGCGGCGAAGAGGGGAAATGCCACGGAGGAGGTAGAGGAGACATTGCAGGCTGTCGTATGTTATTTTCGAATCGCAGAGGGGAGGTTGATGGTTTGTGGCTTTGGGCTAATGGCGCCGTGTGGTTCTAGGTGCTTGCGGATACTTTCGAGACGAGGTTCGAGCCGTTCACACTTGAGAAGCCTAGGGTATGTGTGGGAGTGCTGCTGCGTTGACTGTATGCATTGATGGTGGGGGATTTTGAAGGCTGACGCAGAGTGATTGATCTAGTGTCTCTTGCCGCTTGCGAACACTCCCTTGATTGAATATACGCTCGAGTTCCTCGCCAATGCCGGTGTGGAGGATGTCTTCCTGTACGGCGGAGCGCACTCCGATCAGCTGGAGAAATACATCAATGCGTCCAAATGGAGAGCGCCGTCGTCGCCGTTCAAGCAGTTGACTTTCCTCAAGTCGACGTCGACGTCGGTTGGAGATGTCATGCGTGATCTTGATGGCAAGCATCTCATCACGGGCGACTTCATCGTTGTCAGCGGTGATGTTATCAGCAACTTGCCTATTGAAGGCGCGCTAACTAAGCACCGTGCTCGCCGTGAAGCGGACAAGAACGCTATCATGACCATGATCTTGAGAGAGGCTGGCCGGAACCACAGAACCAAGTCCTCGTCTGTGTCCCCTGTTTTCGTTATCGACCCCACCAAGGACCGTTGCCTACACTACGAGGAGATCGACCATCATTCCCCCGAGCCTTCTCGCCTGAACATCGACGCGGAACTCATTACGACACACCAGGAGATTGACCTGCGCCAGGATCTGATCGACTGTAACATCGATATCTGCACACCCGACGTGTTGAGTCTCTGGTCCGACAGTTTCGATTACCAGACGCCCCGCAAACAGTTCTTGTACGGTGTGCTGAAGGACTACGAGCTGAACGGAAAGACAATTCACACACACATCGTGAAGGACCACTACGCTGCCCGGGTCCGGAATCTGAAGGCGTACGACGCTGTCAGCAAGGATGTTATTTCGCGGTGGGCGTACCCTCTGTGCCCCGACACCAACCTGCTTCGCGGCCACAACTACGAGCTTCGGAAGGGAAGCCTGTACCAAGAACAGGGTGTGACTCTGGCCCGCTCGTGCGTGATCGGTCGGCGCACGGTCATCGGCCAGGGCACCAGCATTGGGGACAAGACGACGGTCAAGAACACTGTTCTCGGACGCGACTGTAAGATCGGCAAGAACGTCACACTGGATGGTGCTTATATCTGGGATGGCGCTGTCATCGGCGATGGAACGACTGTCAACCAAGCAATCGTTGCTGACCGGGCAGTGGTGGGCAAGAACTGTACCATTGAGCCTGGCTCTCTGATTTCATTTGGTGTCGAGATCGCCGATGGTGTCAAGGTTAGCGACGGAAGACGCATAACGACAGCCTACCGGGAGGAGGACGACGAGGTGCCGGCCAGTGAGCCCGAGGTTGTTGGAGAAGGCGGCAAGGGATATGAATACGTTCCTTATGATGACGATGAGGATGAAGATGAGACGGCCAGCAATGCTTCGTCTGGTTTGAGTATGTGCATTCTGCTCCATTATTTGAGTCTATGATTGGCTAACATTTCTATCGCAGTTTACAACATGGCGAACCTGTCTCTCTCTACAGAGTCTATCTCGACGCTTTCCTCCGAGATTTCAGAGTTCGGCCGGTCTCGCTCGGGTAGTTTCAGCACTACAATGTCCGACGACGAAGACCAGGACCACTTTGTCCACGATGCCGCGGCTAGTGTCTATGACAGCTTGCGGGATGGCGTCACATCCGACGTGGTACAACTGGAGCTGGTCAGTCTGCGTATGACAGCGAATGCTTCCGACCACCAGGTCCGACGAGCCGTGGTCTCGGCGTTCATGAAGCGCATCCAGCAATTGATGGACGGCGGCAAGGGAGCGAGCGAGGCCATCCGGGAGATTTTTGGCAAGTACAAGGAGATCGTGGAGCGGTCACTGTTCGATCGCGACAGCGACGAGAAGCCCGATCAAGTGGACTTGCTGGTCCTCCTGCAGCAGGACCTGGCGCACCGCAGCCGTGGTGACACGGTCATGCTGTTCACGGCCAAGGAGCTGTACGACCTGGAGATCGTGGAGGAAGAAGCTTATGAGCAGTGGTGGGCAGATGAGCGGTCGAGCAGCACGGAGGAAATGCGGCAAGTGCGCAGCCAGTCGCAGCAGTTTGTGGACTGGTTGGCCAATGCGGAAGAAGAGGAGAGCAGCGAGGAGGAAGAAGAGAGTGATGAAGATGATGAGTAGATGACATAGACTATAGCCTAGAACACTTAGCAGAATTGTCCAAAATTCAATGACAAAAAGGGTTACTCCATTCATATTGCAGAATACCCATACTCAGCATGAATGGAGCTGCAGCTGATGAAGCGTTGAATTGCGTGTCTTCCAGTACCTGTCTTTGGGTGCCTAATATCACAGGTATCAACCAGGCAGTCACGGGTATCGCCCAAAGAAGCAAGTTAGATTGCCTGAATCAGCGACGATGGAATTATTTGTTGGCGATCGCCTGTTTCTTGCCTTGCTTCAAGCCAACAACATTCCAATAATAGCTTCAAGATTGTTCTGTTTGTTCTTTCTAGATACGACTTGGATCCTCTCAGGTGGATAGATGACAGTGCACACATCATCTTCACTATTGTCATCATAGCAGCCCTGCGATTATTGCTCCCTACTTGACTCGGTAGTCGGTTAGTTAGTTACATGTCACATTGACTAAGAGGCGTGAGGGGAGGGGGGAGAAGACCAGCTGTTGTCTTCCCAAGGTACTACTAGTCTATCTATCTATCTATCTTACTTACTCCGCACTTCTGGGAACATCTCTTCGATGTGCACGGCTCTATTTGCCTTTACCTGTTCCTCGAACTGTCTCCCCACAGTTTGACTCTTTTGGTGGAGTTCATCCCCCTCTACTCTAGAACTTGGGCCTCCTGCTGCAGTTTGACCCTGCCAAGTCCCTAACATTATTGGAGCCGCGATCGAGCATCATAAAGGGATACATCATTCCCTTTTTTCCTTTTTCTTCACCCACTGGATCATTCCTCGAAATAGGGGATCCCAGTGCTGAGAAGATATTTTCGGATTGGAATCCACCTTTTGATTTTTTTCTTTCTTTTCTGATATTCCCTTTTCAACCGAATCCACTGTTGCATTTCTATCGAATCCAGAAAAAACGGACCCCACACCCAGATTCCCTCCCGTGACGTCCGCCCGGCTGTTAGTGACACAACCCGCCCCTCCCTTTTGCCCAAGCAGTTGATTGAACATCATTAAGCTCTCCACGCAACGATCGGCTGAGGGCTAGTGCTGCCCTGTTCCCCTCGTCTCTATTACCACTACCCTGTTTTCTTCTTCCTTATTGTCATCAGGGTATTTCCGTATCACCCCTTTTTCTTTCTTACCAAAGTTCCTGCTATTTCCGGTAGGCTGCGGGCTGTGTGTTGTCTCGAGAAAAAGAGGTCTCGACATCCCATCTCGAGGCCTACCTTTTTTTCGCGTCAGCACATAATACCGGCTTGCCACGGGCAGAAACGCTTTCACCACGCCTCCCCTCACGAGAAAGAGGAAGGCGGCCGCGGCGACGCTTGTAGATAACGAACCCAAAACAGCCGCCACCAAGGCTTCCGTCGCCCTTTCGCCTGCCGCCACCGCAACCTCCTCTTCGGGCCAATCCTCCCGCAAAAAGCAGAAGCCCGCGGTTCAGGACCCTGACTCCGATTACACCCTAGCGACTCCTGGTAGCTTTTCGGTTCCTGTGCGATCGAAGGAGGAGGAGGATATCGATACTCCGGCGTCTACCAGCATGGAGTCGGATGAGGACTTCATGAGTGTCGGGTCGAGCCCGGATGATTTCCTGGATACCCAAGGAAGTGATGTCGAGAGTCTCGGAGAAGGTTAGTGATCGGGTTGAATACCTTCTTGTTATTCAGGGTCATACTGACGATATCCTTCTTGCGTCATGTACAGACTTCGGTGACGATTTCGACGGCGGATTCTCTAAAGATAAGGATATCATCGCGACGAAACGAAAGCCTTATGAGGTCGAGTTTACTGTTCTGAGCCCGGAGGACATCGATCGTGAACAGAACCTGCAGATTAACGAGGTCTCCTCGATCCTCGGATTGCCCCCAGAGTCGTCGGCTATTCTGCTGCGATATGGACGATGGAATCGGGAGAAGTTGATCGAGTCATACATGGACCATCCTGAGAAGACGCTGGAGGAGGCAGGCCTCGGCACCAACTTCGACGGAACGCCAAAGACTGAAGTGGTACCAGGGTTCGTGTGCGACATCTGCTGCGAGGACGGGGACGACCTTGAGACATATGCCATGCGTTGCGGGCACCGCTTCTGTGTGGATTGCTATCGTCATTATCTGAGACAGAAGATCCGGGAGGAGGGTGAAGCAGCAAGGATAGAATGCCCGAGTGATAGCTGCAATATGATTGTGGACTCGAAGTCATTAGGTCTTCTGGTGACAAACGATCTTAAGGCGAGGTGAGAATTGCAGCATGTCCTTTACTTGCCCTGTTACTGACGCTTTTCAGATACCACGCGCTTCTTACACGAACATACGTCGATGATAAAGACAACCTCAAATGGTGCCCGGCGCCCAATTGTGAATACGCGGTTGACTGTCCTATAAAGCAGCGTGACCTTCGTCGTGTCGTACCCACTGTACAGTGCGACTGTAGGCACTATTTCTGTTTTGGGTGCACACTAAATGACCACCAGCCAGCACCCTGCACGCTGGTGAAAATGTGGCTCAAGAAGTGCGAGGATGATTCTGAGACGGCGAACTGGATCTCCGCCAACACCAAGGAGTGTCCCCGATGCCACTCAACGATCGAAAAGAACGGTGGATGCAACCACATGACGTGTCGCAAGTGCAAGCACGAATTTTGCTGGATGTGCATGGGACTGTGGTCTGAACACGGCACTAGCTGGTATAACTGCAACCGCTACGAGGAGAAATCTGGATCAGATGCCCGAAGTGCGCAGGCGCGATCCCGGGCGTCGCTGGAGCGATATCTCCATTACTACAACCGCTATGCCAACCATGAACAGTCCGCCAAGTTGGACAAAGATCTGTATCTCAAGACGGAGAAGAAGATGACGAGTCTGCAGTCGCAGTCTGGACTTTCATGGATCGAGGTGCAGTTCCTCGATACCGCATCGCAGGCACTCCAGCAATGTCGCCAGACGCTGAAGTGGACATATGCCTTTGCCTACTACCTCGCCCGCAACAACCTGACGGAGATCTTCGAGGATAACCAGAAGGATCTGGAAATGGCGGTGGAGAGCCTGAGTGAGATGTTTGAGAAGCCCGTACCGGAGCTGGCGAACTTGAAGGTCGACATCCTGGACAAGACGGCGTACTGTAACAAGCGCCGGGTGATCCTCCTCAGCGATACTGCAGAGAACTTGAAAAACGGTATGTCCCTTGTGATTTCACGAGACATTTCTGTATACTGACATACAACTTCCAGGGGAATGGTCCTTCAACGTGGAATGGTAGACTACAGTATATAGAATGATCGAACTTACATCCTGTTGAGGCGCCACCCTCCCCCACTACTTCCTCAGCCGGTGGACGAGCTTCACGACGTGCATGACGACAGCGCATATGGTTTCTATCTATCTAAACAACTCTCTCACTTACTCACTCCGGCGTCCCTGATGTTTTCCTGGATGGTTCGTTATTCGTATGTATCAACTACTTCTGGGCGATTTCTATGCTGTACTTGTCATATATTTCTTCTTCCACATTTTTTCCTCGAAACATATTAGTCAGAGGACTAGTACTATCCGAGTTTGACATTTCCATATCCAACGCCTTGCAGTGGGGATGGCTGTATTTGAGAGGCATGCACATGATGTGAACAGACTGAGTTGGGTGGGTAGGTGTCTAAAATTGACAAGTTGGGGGAGATTGTATGAAGAAAGAATGTCCGAGTAGGTAGATGCAGTGCCTTGTCCGGAGGATTACAGTCAACAGCTACTACAACTGACAAGGTACCTATGCTTATGCACCAGCTGGGTCAACTAGCCAGAGAATGGAAAAGTCGGTACTGGAGAGAATGAAAACCGCGAAAATTTGTACACAGAATCAACCTCCTACATTGATTGATCCCACGTAGCAAGTCAGTCGGTCAGTCAGTCAGTCAGACAGCGATGATCCACTAGATACTAGTTTACTAGCCAGTTACCTTAACCAGTAAGTAGTAGTAGTAGTGCCAAACGCCAAATGCCAAATCCCCAACAACCAACGGCGCCAATTAGATGTCTACTACAGTAGCCAGCCTAAATAGTACTCTCTCTCTCTCTACTCTACTCGGCCTCAAACCCTTTAAGCCTTCCCTGCACTACACTAATACAAGATCTGAATATCCCCGAGCCTGGCATATACTTCTGGTGAAATAAAAATTTAAAGGAAAAAAAGAAATAACCATAAAAGGAACTTAACCCCGAGCCAGCACCCCAAGAAAACACACCCGTGGCGAAAAAAAATAAAAATTAAAAGGAAAAATTCATTATTCTAGAAAATATCCAAAAGAAGTTGTTGGAAATTGTTAATCAATCAGATAAGCCAAACCGAGCCCGGCCCACCCCAAGAGGAAAGGAATAAAAAAAAATAAAAAATAATAAAAGAGATCATCTGCACAGGCTGGCATGCACTACTGACTGGCACGGCGCCGCGGTGTGCCGTGCCGAAGTTTTTGACTGATTGATTGATTATGGATTCCTCCGTGCATCGGCGGTTTTGCTTAGTTACTACGTACTTTCTTAGTTTAGTTTCCATGATCCCCCATCCCCATCTAATTAGTTAGGGAGTAATAGATAGTCTGTTCGCTTCGTGCCGGGAGAAGAAGAAGGAGAAAAGATTTTTTTTATCAAGTAATAAATTTGATGGGTAAAAAATATTTTATTGGATTGATTCTAAGGGATATTACCGGTTTAATGTCGCTGAATTTTTCTTTTATGCTAGATGGATGTCTGGGATCGGGGCGAAAAAGTATTCATTATTCATTATTCATGAGTACGGAGTAGTCGGTTGGGTTCCATATGGATGGAGATGGGGTTCCGTCATCGGATCTGTCGTAGTTGGTTTTGCCTAGGTACTTTGGAGGTTCGTTCGTTAGTAAGGTAAGTTGTCTAAAGGCAGTCTAGGTCGGGATGCTGATTCAGCAGGTAGATTGTCTGTCTCTGTCTGTGTGTCTGTGTGCAAGGCAGGTGGGAAAGAAAAAGAAAAGATGGAAATTTTTGGGTACTTCCGAGGAACACGTTTAGTAGTTAAGTTAAATAGTAATGAGGTTTATTTATCATGCGGAGGATAGGCACATAGTGGGTGGAAATTGGATAAGAATAAATTGGGGAGAAGCGGGCTAGAAAACACAAGGAATCAGGATGGAAGGAAGGGAAGGGAGACAAGGCTGGATTTTATCAATCTCTCCTTCTAATTAATTATTTTACCGAAGGGACGAACTGGTGAAAGTTCTCCCTCAATCAATCTATTTACCCTATGACTATCTTGCCTACTATCTATCTACTACTTACTTGGGAGTAGTTTAGATTATTTAGTTGAACTAGGACAAGAATCGAGAAAGCTGAACTAAGTTAACTAACAAATAAATTACTGCTGCTCCGGGCGGGACTGCCGTGCATACTGACTGATACATCCTCAATACCACTGCAACAGCTGCATCCACGCGGGGATTCGGCCCGGTGAAACAGGTTGAAACCAGCTCCGAACGGTATTAATGACCCGGGACTTGCTTTGCTCCTTTAGTTCACCTTCAGCAGCAAGAAATTCCCGACTGTCCAGAAAGATTATTATTTCCTATCTTTCGCCAGTCCGTCCTCTGCTTTCCTCCTCTCCACCTTTCTCCTCTACTCCCCTCCCTCTGAGGCATTGAATAACTTCTTCCTCCCCGTCTTTTAATCGGGCTGATCCTACCTTCTCCTCTCCTCGCCTCCCCTCCGTCTCGCTCCCTCCCCTTCCGCCCGATATTCTTCCTCTCGGAGTCCGGCTTCCTCTCCGCTCCGCAAGTCCGTTTTTCTGCGTCGGCATTTCCATCCTCGACCAAATACCTCCACACTCCAGCTCGACCATCCCCCCCGAGCTGTTTGATAGTCGATTCTTCTTCTGAAGAATATCGCCTTCTTCTCAAGCGACAGCAGCTGTTATATCAAACCAATCAAGCTCCATGGCGTCTCCCGAGCAGATTCCCGGGCAGGAATACGAGTATGTCGACCGTGTTATTATCTCCTTCGTATTCGTGGCGGTTTCGCTTTTTCGCGCAAGGCTCTCTACAGGGTCTATCTCGTCAGCAGATACATCCTGCGATTGACTGCGCTGTCCGATTTATTGCATTTTCCGGAGCGAGCTTTGCAGACGATTTGCTTTCGGTATTGGAACCCGCAGCTAACCCTCCATTCTCATAATAGCTATGAAGCCCTCCCCTCGAACTACGGCTTAGGCCGGAATATGCTGGCTGGCGCTTTTGCAGGAATAGCAGTATGTGGAAAACACTGTGGTGAATTGGTGACTGGGTTCCGGTGGTTGTGCTAATGGGTGCTTGGTTGTTCTAGGAACACTCTGTTATGTATCCGGTCGACTTGCTGAAGGTACGTTGATGATTGTAGGGGAGGTTTGAGATGGGTTGGAGGCGCTGGAGATTGATCGCCTCATCTCTTATGTTGGACTTTGCGGGTGCGGTGGGCTAATGGTGGGGTTCGTACAGACACGCATGCAAATCCTGCATCCCTCGAACGGCGGGCTCTACACAGGCTTGACTAATGCGGTTTCGACCATCTACCGGATTGAAGGCTGGAGGACGCTATGGAAGGGCGTCTCGAGTGTTATCGTTGGTGCTGGTGAGTGCGACAATTTCGGGCGCGCCGTTGTGGGTGCTATCGCGGCGGAGGTTGACTTGGTGAACTCTAGGTCCGGCTCATGCCGTTTACTTTGGTACATACGAGGTTGTTAAGGAGATGGCCGGTGGCAACGTGGACGATGGGCACCACCCGGTAGCAGCTGGTAGGTTTTGGTGTTTTGCTTGGAGGTGCGATGATTTTGGTGCAATTGCTGACGATGCCAAGCGCTGAGCGGTGCGTCCGCAACCATTGCTAGCGACGCCTTGATGAACCCCTTCGATGGTGAGTACTGCGCCATTTGCGCTCCATCCTTCTTAGTCTGTTTTTGGGTGTTGGCTAACTGAAGCAGTCATCAAGCAACGCATGCAGGTCCATGGCTCGGTACACAAGAGTATCCTTCAATGCGCCCGCTCCGTCTACAAGGCGGAAGGTCTCCAGGCGTTCTACGTATCCTATCCCACTACGCTTTGCATGACGGTGCCTTTCACCGCCACTCAGTTTGTCGCCTACGAGTCCATCTCCAAGGTCATGAACCCGTCGCAGGATTACGACCCGTTCACGCACTGCATGGCGGGAGGTCTGGCGGGTGCATTCGCCGCCGGTATCACCACCCCGCTTGACGTTGTGAAGACGCTGCTGCAGACCCGAGGGCTGGCCCAGAACGAGGAGATTCGATCGGCCAAGGGTCTGTTCAACGCTGCGGCCATTATCAAGCGGCAGTTTGGCTGGAAGGGATTCCTGCGTGGCGCTCGCCCCCGCATTATCTCTACCATGCCCAGCACTGCTATTTGCTGGTGAGTTTCCTTGCAACTTCCGACGGTCCCATTGCAAAGTTACCACCGACGCTTGCGCATTGAAAACGGTTGCTGACGCAATTATACAGGACCTCGTATGAGATGGCCAAGGCCTACTTCAAGGGCCAGGTGGACAGCTAGATGCAAGCACGGCTTTAGCTAACGACCCGATCGCATGAATCCGACACAATCCAGCTCAGCGACCCTTTTTGACCTCTGGTTCCGACCTGACTCGTCCGCGGACCCAAGAAAAAAAGACCCATTCCCCAAGAAACCATTAGTCACATGAATAGGAAGAAAGCCCGACCAAAAGCAAAACAGAAAAAAGAAAAGAAACCAAACGAAAGAAAAAAGATAGTCTTGTTGAACAAGCAGTCAAAAACAGAACAAAACAAAACCTTCGTCCTTTGCGAGCATCACGTGCGCAGGACGGACCCGATCGAGCGCTGCAGGCTGAAATGAGCTCAACTGAGCTACGGGCGGGTTGGAGCTTTCTGCAGCTATCATCCCCTTCTCCTTAACCTCCTCTTCCTTTCTCCCTTCCTTTTCTTTTCCCGTCCGCTCTTCTTCTCATTCGTCGGGGGGATCGCGCCAACTGCCGAGGCTCTCGGACTTAATTAACGCAAGCCCGGGCGATCAGGAAATAGAGAACGGACCAGGAAAGGAGGAGGGATCCTTGACCGACTCCGAATGGGGAACCTTAACCTTCTGACGTGTATTTATCTGTTATGAACGGGGTGCTGATAGCTGGGCTTGATGGACGATGAATTCAGGCCTCCCGGGATGTTGGTGAGTGCTGCTTGTTCTTTTATTGTTTTGAATGCTTGGATCTGGGCCCTGAGCATAAAGAAGGGCCCGGCGTATGTTTCAATTCGTGCTTCAATCGCGTTACTACTGGCGTTGGCATGCAGGGGAACATCTGGACGAGTTTCCTATATGTTTTTCACTTCTTCTGGTTGATCCTCGAGTTGCATTTTATAAGTAGTTCTGGTTGGACGTCTTTCTTTTTTTGTGCCCCCAAATTTTAATGTTCGGATACAACTTTGCGCATCTGTCGGGTTGGATGCGGATGTTTCTGTATGTACGCTATAGAGGACCGGGATGACCATACTATCTATCTATCTATCTACCTATCTATCTATCCATCTACACCTGTCCATGGCTCTTTTTTTATGCATGAATCAGCTTCCGAGACACGGTGAGACATGACTTGAATGGAATAAATGAAGTTGTAGGGACTCCGGGGGGTCTCGAGGGGCGATTCCCAAGCAAAACCGCATGGCCGCCAAAGCCGGTAACCAACGACGTCACGCAGAAAACTGGGGAGGGCAAAACCGCCGCCGGATCCTGTCGTTCTGCTGCTGCTTCTCTTTCCTTGCTTCTTTCTGGCACTTTTCTTTTCCTCGTTACTACCTACTTCTTACTTCTTAACGTTCCCTCCCATGCTTGAGAGTGTTTCTATCTTCCTGTCATTCAACTGATCGCATACTCTCGTTCCTCCTATCCCTCTCCCTCCTCTTCCTCCTCTCCTCTTCTCCTCCCCTCATCTTCATCCTCATCCTTATCCTCTCATATCTTGCGGGCGGGTCCTGCACATTCCGCCTTTTCCCCAGCGCTGGATGCATGATGCGCCCCAAGCCGGCGTCTTCGCTCCAGAAGACCTACGATGACTGCTACCTGATGTGCTCCACTGCCGTCTACTTTGAAGGCCAGGTTCGTTACTACTCAATGCTACCTTCCACTGCTTCCCCCTCATCCCTCCTTTCCCTTCTCACAACCCCCCTCTCCTTCCACACTAATACTTACTTGCCCCGATCGGCAAAAACAGCAAAATGAGGAGGAAGCCTTGAGATCTTGGCGCTCCGCCCTAGAAACGATCTACTATCACAACGCTTATCGTGTCCCCTCCAAGTACACCCCCAAAAACGAGACCGAACGTGCCCTTCAAGAGTCCATCCGCCAGCTCGAGCTTCAATGCCGCGAGCGGGTCGATCTCCTGCAGGCCCTCCGCGAAAGCAGAAAGGATTCCGCCGGTCGATCGCCTCCTCGAACCACTCCGGGCTGGATTGGTGACGGCACCGTCCCCGCGGTCGGATATACCGATCTCTCCAAACCCCCCACTATCCCCGGTCGCCCGCCCCCGTCCACCACCGTCAGCTCCGACTCCATCAGGAGCGATCTTCAACCCAGCGCCGCGGCTTCATCCCGGCCCATCCCCATCCCCGCTCAGCGCACCCAGTCGCATTCCTCGGGCAAAACGGACTCCCGCACCCCCAGTCCCGAGCGCCGGAAGATCATGCCGTTCACCCTGCGTACTAGTGATTTCAAGAAATTGGGCAAGAAGAAAGACAGCTCCCGACGGAGAGAGCTGCGGCCGGCCGCAGCTTCTCAGGCCGCCGGGCTGGCCTGGGGGAGTATCTACAACACTCCCTCTTCGCCCGACAAGACCGCCAGCGATGCTGCTCTTGCGTCCTCCCGCCAGAGCGCCTCCAATGACCCCAGCTTTCGAAGGGAGCCGGCACCCCTTCGTGCCCATTCTGGAGATGGGCATGTCCCGCGGAAAGCATCAAATCCACCAACAGATGATCCGGATAGTCGTCGCACCGGACGAAAGCCTCGCGTGTCGGACCAGCCTGTCCGGCGGTCGCCTGCGAAGAAGTCGGCATCGAGCACTCCTTCGACGACACCAACGGTCTCCGCGTCTCGCACCCCAACTGCGGAGAGTCAGCTGCGGTCGTCTGCTCGTTCGCAGTCCGCCTCCGCAGGACCTGATGCGAAAGACGCCGTGCGTTCGCAGCCTCCGCCGAAGCCATCTGTTAAGCCCAAGCCGGTAGCATTGAGGTCGGCCAATCCAACTTCGTCTTCCCCGCGACGGTCTGTTGAGCCTACGGAGCGCTTAAGCCGGCCACCGACCAAGTCAACATCGCGTCCCCGCCTTGCCCCCACATCATCTACAGAGGATGCATTGGTTCCAGGTTTAGATCGTATGGCGTTATCGGGCAACAGTCCGGTCCGACCAACACCACAGCTCAAGCGGACCATAACGCCACCGTCGAGTGATCCGGAATCGCTGGGCCCCAAGTCTACCGAGCCAGAGGAGGAAGATGTTGAAGAAGACGAGGACGATATGTATTTGGATATATTGAACAGGCTTCCCAAGGGAGTAGACGTCACTGCTGCTCGACAGATCCTGAACGATATAGTCGTCCGCGGTGACGAAGTCCATTGGGATGACATAGCGGGTCTAGACGGCGCCAAAAAGGCGCTGAAAGAAGCTGTTGTCTACCCATTCCTCCGACCTGATCTCTTCTCCGGTCTACGTGAGCCTGCCCGTGGTATGCTTCTCTTCGGACCTCCAGGAACTGGCAAGACGATGCTGGCGCGCGCAGTCGCTACGGAATCCAAGTCGACCTTCTTCTCCGTCTCCGCATCGACACTGACTTCCAAATGGCACGGAGAGAGCGAGAAGCTCGTACGTGCTCTATTCGGACTCGCCAAGGCCCTCGCTCCATCCATCATCTTTGTCGACGAGATCGACTCATTGCTCTCCGCCCGATCATCAGGGACCGAGAACGAAGCCTCCCGGCGATCGAAGACGGAATTTCTCATCCAATGGTCAGACCTGCAGCGTGCAGCAGCTGGTCGCGAGCAGAAGGACAAGAAAATCGGCGACGCCAGCCGCGTGCTCGTCCTCGCGGCCACAAACATGCCCTGGGATATTGACGAAGCTGCGCGTCGTCGATTCGTGCGTCGACAATACATCCCTCTCCCGGAGCACGATGTTCGCGAGCAACAGTTACGGAAATTACTCAGTCACCAGGTCCATGAACTTTCGGACGAGGATATCGAAGTTCTGGTTCAAGTCACTGATGGTAGGCAACATCTGCAGCTTTCACTACATGTACACTTTGGAATACAGTAACTGACAGCTATATGAACAGGCTTCTCAGGTTCCGACATGACCGCCCTCGCCAAGGACGCAGCAATGGGTCCCCTCCGTAACCTAGGCGAGGCGCTCCTGCACACCCCTATGGACCAGATCCGACCAATTCGGTTCCAGGACTTCCAGGCGAGCTTACTATCCATCCGTCCCAGTGTGAGCAGGGAAGGATTACAAGAATACGAAGAATGGGCTAGACAGTTTGGAGAGCGGGGAGGATAATCCTTTGGCTGTTCTAACCTTTATGTTACGGCTTTATTTTGCTCATCATTTATCTGGCGTACCCGGCTGCGATGGATACATGTGTCAGGACAGGGGTAGGTTTATGTCTCATGTTGGATAACGATACGGTATGGTACGGGTATGATATGATTCTTTTTGGTTCGGACGGGGTGTTATTTTTCTTCTCTTGGGAATGACTGCATTGCTTATGGGTATGGGGTAGGTTAGGTTAGGTTAGGTCATTGGTAAGGGGCGCGTGTGTGTATGTTTGTGTGTGTGGGATGTCAGCGTTTCATCCGGGTTCACACCAAACCCAAGAATCAAAATCTAAAGTTCGATGCAATGCAACCAACTAATCGGTAGACTACGACTTGTAGTAGTTGAAGTAATGTTTCATCATCTATTTCCCCTCTTCTCATCCAGAACCAAGTATCAAAGAGGAGAGAGAGCGAAGGGGGTAGGTAGGTAAATGATGTAGATAGTGTAACACAGGGATGTAACATCAATTCCATCATAACATCATCACTCAACTTCTTAGTAGTAGTAGTAGTAGTAGTAAGTGAACGATAAATACCTTTATTTACATTACCAACAAATGAAATATAAGTACGAAAACACTATTTTATACCTGAATCCCGGATTCTTGATATAATGATCCAGTAGTAGTAATAATAATAGGAGGAGGAGAAACAATTGACAAGTTACTAAACCATTTATTACTTAATTACCTTAAGCCCGTCTAGTTCGTTAGTTAACTAGTTATTTTATCCACCGATTTTCAAACAATACTACTTACTACCTTGCTTGCTAAATATTATCTATGTTGTAGAGTAGGACCAGACCAGGTACAAGGAACTTACTAACTACTAAGTAAATTTCTTAGTAAATTAAACTAACTAGTAGTATTCAAGATCCATTATGGACTTAGTAGTCAGTCAACAGATGATCGATCTATACTATATAAGTAGCGGAATTTTACTGAAGTGCGTCGGATTAGGTCTGCTAAGAAAGCAAGCAGGCAGGCAGGCGAGCAATCCTAGCCAGTCAAGAACAATACTACTACTAGTAACTGACATTTCCATCATAATATATATATCCATTTGAATTCTAACCTAAGTTATGCTAACCTAACCTAACCTAGGTTAGATAACATAAAAGTATCTACCAGAATAGAGAGAACTAAAAGACGATATCGTATGAAATGTGAAGAGAGTAGAGAAAGGAGACATATAAGAAGGGAGAGAGTGTGAGGGTAATAATCAAGATCAATGTCATTCGTAGGAAGAAAAGAAAAGAAAAGAACAGGGTATATAAAATTCCATGGATAGAGGTGAGACAGACATATAAATAAATCAGCGTGCGTGGAGATAAGCGGTCACGGATGGACAAAGGGAATGACAAGTGCGAGGCAGAGATTGGTTGGTTAATTTGCATGGTGTAAGGAAATATCGTCGTGGTGGTGATCTCGAGAGCGAGACGGCATTGTTTCGTAGGTGAAAAAGTGCCTCTGGTAGACTGTAGAAGATGTCGAGACGTGCATCAAAAACAAAAAAATTGGTATCCGGATTCGACTCCTACAACTGCAGCTAGCAAGAAATGAAATGATAAAAACATAAAAACCCAAGCCTGATCAGGCTAGATATCTCAAAAAACCATCACGAACCTCTCTCCCAACCGCGCATCATCACCTCTTTCTACAGGTCTATCAAACTGCCACCCTGCTGAGGTTGATGGTACGCTTGTTGTCCGCCCCACGGGTTGTTGGCTGGCTGTGCAAAGCCCGTCTGCTGCGGCACAAATTGCTGCTGCTGCTGCGGCTGCTGGCCGAAGAAAGGGTTGTTGCCGGTGCGTGTTGCCCGTAACCGATCCAATCCCTGACCAGCGGAGTTGACAAATGTACCAGGAGCAGTGTGCTGCGCAGGAATTCGCAAATCGCCAGTGTTGCCAAAAGTGTCCTGGCCTTCGCCAGACGCCAGCAGCGCATTGAGCTGGGCGCGGTGCGGATCTTGCATTTGCGGAGGTGTGCTCTTCGGAGGTCCGAAGCTCTGCTGTGGCGGTGCAAGGTTCTGTGGGGACTGGAAGTTGGCGATTGGGTTGAACGAGGTGGTGGCTCGCTCTTCGGCCAGCGTGTTCAAGGACGGGGGTCCAGTCTGTGCGGGCTTCGGCTGGAACTGCTGCTGCGTACGCTGCGCAAATGGGTTGTTGGATCCAGTGGGCATGGGCTTCAGCGCGTCCGCCGATTGCTGGTTAGTGGCCCATGGGTTGTTGGTGCCGGTCGAGAGGAAGTTGTCCTGCGGTTGCTGATTCTGGAACTGTTGGTGCTGCTGCGGCTGTTGCTGTTGCTGCTGGGAGAAGAAGTCGGTGCTGCCGGGAGCGCCCCAAGGGTTGTTGGTATTGAAGGCAGTGTGTTGCGGTTGTAGCGTTGCTTGTGGCTGCAGGAAGTTCTGCTGTTGCTGCTGCCCATAGGGGTTTTGATCGAATGCAGAGGGTTGGCCCTGGAATCCATTGGCGTATCCGTTGGGCATACCGGTCATCTGTCCCTGGAATCCAGTGGGCTGCGCATATTGGTTGTTCAGGTAGCCTGTGGTCAGGGGTTGTTGAGGATTGATAGGGTTGCCGAACCAGTCGACGGCGTTCTGCTGCTGATAGCCCTGGTTGTAGCCAGTGGGCTGTGCCTGGGCGGTCGGCACAGGAGTGTCGTCAAAGAGCGACTGCGCGTTACTCTCTTCCAACTCGCGCTTGCGCAATTCTTCCTCTTCCTTGCTGAGCTTGATCGCCCGAGCCAGGTCCTCGTCATCCTCGGCTCCAGCCTCCTTGGCGCGGCGCTTGCGTTCCTCCTCGGCTTCGTACTTGCTTGCCTCAATGGCCAACCGATACTCGGCATCCTCGTCATCGTTGGTCGCACGGCGACGCTCCCGCCGCTCACGGCGCGGCGGTTCCTGCCCATAGCCTTGGTCATCGAGTCCGCTCACACGGGACTTCCACAACTTGCGGTCGGAGCGCTCACTGCGCAGTCTATCTTCGTCCAAAATGAGGGAGGTAAGTTCCTTGGCGGCAACACGGACTGCCCAGGGACGAGTTAGCCACCACACGGATTTGGGGAAAGACAAATCCACGAAATAGGGGGAGCCTACCATTCTGACCAACATCTCGACCATCCTCATCAACGTATTGGAACTCGCGCAAGGTCTTGATGATGTAGACGTTCTTTCGGGCCCAGGTGACGACCAACTCGGAGCCTTCGTGTAGACAGTAATCGAGGACCTTCAATGACTTGAGTACGTGGCGCCAGTTCTTGCCCTTGTCGTTCAAGCGCTTGTCCAGCATATCCATGATCTCGTAGAAATCGGTCGGGCTAAATGATTACACCGGCGTCAGCTTCGATCGAGAACCACGGGAGCCAATGGCGGGGGAGTAAGTGGCCTACCTGCTGAACGTCAAGGCAGCAATCTCTGCCATTTCGGTCCCCGTAGGACCCCAGGGGTCATTACTTGTGGCTGTACGAAGCGAATTCACATGTTAGCAGAGTCCGCATGTCAGATCCGATCATTGTCAGGGATACCGTCCCGACCGACACCGCAGCATGGTGCCGATTGCGAAGGACCCCCAGAAACCCCGGACCGAAGGAACAGACGGAGACGTACCATTTCGAACTTTGACCTGGACGGAGGAATAACCCTTGGTCACGTTCTTGACACTGCGCACGACTTTGGACATTGTGGCGAGTTGGTGGATAGGGGGTGAAGTTGATTGTAGGTGGTGTATGTGGCGTGGGGGATGGAGGTTGTAACGGCGGGAACTGGACCCTCGCAATGACGGACTCGGATCTCAATCCCTTCGCGGGGGGGAAAGTGGACGGGAACGCGCGACACACGGGCGATGGCTTGGGAGGGGGAACAGAGAGAAATTTGGGGAGGTAAGTGCGATGGGAGCAGAGCCAGCCCGTCTCTCCTTATCGCGCGGTGAAAGTGGGGAAGATGATGGGGAGTGAGAAGTAGGAGTAGAGGTAGTAGAGGTGAAGGAGGAGGAGGTGGTTAAGGTGAGAGAGAGAGAGTCGTTACAGTCAGTCAGTTGGTGGCTGTTTAAGGCGTTAAGGTCGGGGGAGTCGGCGAGTGGCTGAACTGAAGAGGAACTCCGGCGGAGTATGTAAGCCGGATGCACACCAGTAACTTAACTAGTTAATTATTTTAATTTACAAGAAAACAGGGGGAGAGAGAGAGATGGATGATGATGATGATGATCGCTTGCACAACGGGAAAAGGAGGGAATGGAGAGAGAGAGATAGAGGATGGGGACGGGATAAGAATGGATGAGGGTTTCAGGAAAGATGTTCAAATGGATGGAGAAAGAGAGTAGAAGGGTTGTTTGTATTAGACGAAGAGAAAAAGAGAGTCAGTTTTGGTGGGCACTACTCACACCGGGAGATGACGACGCAAGCCTCAAACCAGCCAAAGTTTATCCAAACCACGACCGTTTTACTTTTGATTTCTTCTCTTCTGCCCAATTCGTTTCCAGAGAAGTTCAAAGGGCTGAAGAACTCAAATTGGATATTTGATAATCGAAAAATGGAAATCGAAATCCGGGGGAGAGAAATAAGGGATGGAGAGTAGGAGGGAGTTAATTGAGGGCGTGGGTACTGATCAGGCACTACAATACAATGTATTGACTATAGCAAAGTAGAGGAAGGGAGGGAAAAGAGAAAAAAGGGTCTACGACAAGGGAAAGATGGAGACAGTAACAAAAGTAGTCAAGTAACTATCAGACCATGGCAGAATTTCTTCAAAATGACACCATCTGTTTAGTTCCTCGCCTTCCGGGATAAATCTTACCTACATACACCGTCCAACGATTGGTGATTCTTGCCACCTTGGTTCTGGGGCGGTGCTTATATTACTTTTGCCTCTTACAGTACTAATCATTCTCTTACAGTATAACTATGCCGTGTGTCAACCAGCACATAAAACCATAGAATAATAATAAATAATTCATCTGCGTATTATATAAATAGTAGGAAGTATCCACCGACGTCATCGGCCGGGTCACTGCAGCAGTCCCCTCTCTTCCCCCCAAAACACGTTCCTGACCAGCAAAAACCCTTGCTGCCCTGCAAAGTACTACTAACTGATGATTCATCCAGAATCTTCCCCAAAGCAAGGAATGAAATGGAGCTAGACTCCCCCCGGGCTCAACTCGTATCTACTATCTAGTGTCTTAACTAGTCTATCTAGTATCTACAGAGTATTGATCTCGTATCTCCATGTAAATCCCAGGGATGCGTTCAGGCAGCAGGATTGGCAGTCCGTCGTGTTCCGTCGGGCTTGACCTTCTCTCCCGTCTTCAAACCGCAGACTCAATCTTGAACTCATATCTACTATCTTCATACTACTACTATTTACTCCACCGGCTATAAACTCTAACACTCTCATGAGTCCTTAGTACGGTTAGATGCTCTTAAATTCATAATCTATCAGGTATTCCTGACACATGCAAACCCTGGAATCGTAGAACATAAAAAGATGATGAAAATATAAACCTCAAGAAAGTGGAAGAAAATTGGGCAAGAAGGAAATACAAGGCAACCAAATGCATCATCTACGCACGGCGACTCTCCTCTTCCAGACTCAAATACTTCGCCTCCGCCCCCTTGATGCATGCAATGTTTGCCCCCAGCTTGTTCAACGTCTCCACGTACTCATCGTACGGGTCCGAGTCGAACACAATGCCTCCGCCCGCCTGCAGGTAGGCCACCCCGTTCTTCACCATCATCGTCCGCAGCGCAATGCACGTATCCATCGCCCCCGGCATCTCCGTCTGGCCATCCGCGCTGGCGATGTTATACCCGAAGTAGCCAACCGCTCCCGCATACACTCCGCGCTTCTCGCCCTCCAGCTCCGCAATCAGCTGCATCGCCCGCACCTTGGGCGCTCCCGACACCGTGCCCGCCGGGAAGATCGACCGGAACGCATCGAACCGCGTCTTCTCCGGCCGCAGGATGCCTGACACTTGCGACACCAGATGCTGCACGTGCGAGAACTTCTCCACCACCATCAACCGGTCCACCTGCGTCGTGATCGGGTCGCACACCCGGTTCACATCGTTGCGCGCCAGGTCCACCAGCATCACGTGTTCCGCCCGGTCCTTGATGCTGCTGGTCAGCTCGTTGGCCAGTGCCGCATCCTCCTCGGGCGTCTTCCCCCGCTTCACCGTGCCCGCAATCGGGTGCGTGATGATCCGTCCCTTCTCCTCCTTGACCAGCAGCTCGGGACTGGCTCCCACCAGCTGGAAGTCTTCGCAGTCGATGTAGAAGAGATACGGCGACGGGTTGACCGTGCGCAGGTGACGGAAGAGGTTGAAGGGATGGAGCGACGTCGGCCGGGACAACCGCTGCGACGGCACAGTCTGGAAAATATCACCCTTGGAGATGTGCTCCTTGAGCCGTGTGACATGGCGCTCGTATCCTTCCCGTCCGATGTTCGATGTGTACTCCTGGTTCTGAATGATCGGGCCTTGGGGCGGAAGAGCGTAGTCTGGTCGAAGGAGGACGTCAATGGTCCGCTGGAGCAC